GAGAGGAGAGGAGAGGAGAGGAGAGGCGAGGAGAGGCGAGGAGAGGAGAGGGGAGGGGAGGGGGGGGGAGGGGAGGGGGGGGGAGGGGGGGGGACGGGGGGGGGGGGGGGGGGGGGGGGGGGGGGGGGGGGGGGGGGGGGGGGAGGGGGGGAGGGGGGAGGAGAGGCGAGGAGAGGCGAGGAGAGGAGAGGAGAGGAGAGGAGACGAGAGGAGAGGAGAGGAGAGGCGAGGAGAGGCGAGGCGAGGTGCGAGGAGAGGCGAGGAGAGGAGAGGCGAGGAGAGGCGAGGAGAGGCGAGGAGAGGCGAGGAGAGGCGAGGAGAGGCGAGGAGCGAGGAGAGGAGAGGAGAGGAGAGGAGAGGAGAGGAGAGGAGAGGAGATCTTCCTCTTCTTCTTCAGCCGAAAGGTTCATCGCAATCTGTCAGGGCACATTTACCAGGAGCCTTGGTTACGAGAGCGGAGCGGGATCACTTGCCCGCCTGGCTAGGCTACCAGAGTAGCCTGGGTCCGCTTGCCCGGCCGGGCCTAAAAGAGATTAAAAATAATAATATATATATGACGATATATATATATATTATTATTATTATTATTTTTTAATTTGGTCAAGAATTTCGATGTGACCCCTGAGGCGAAATTGTTCAGTTTATTTTTCTACATAACATAGTTTTTTTTCGGATTTTTTGGAATTGTTTTTTTTTTTTTTTTTTTTGGCTGGGACCTTCCCTGGTCCCTGCACTGCCGGGCCGCCCAGAAAAATAGGGTGACCTGGGCGGCCCGGCTGGTAGCCTAGCCGGCCGGGCCAAAAGTATTAAAAAAAAACACAAAAAGAATTATGTGACCCTCAGGCAAAAGTTGTCCAGGGGTATGGTCCCACTAGCAACGGGATAGGATATAAAAGAGTTTGTGTGGCAGTTGAGTGACCCAAATCCTGCCGTGCAGTACTGGTGATCCCACGGTCAGTGTTTTACATGTATTACCCGAAAAAGTAAGGAGATCTTCGTTCCCCTCCTCCTCTCCTTAACACTGGGCTTGCCCGTGCAAAGACAGCTTCCCGCCAGAATCTTTTCAATTGGTTGGGGGTGTGGCCGGCCTTAGCCCACTGGATAGAAGATTTTCAGCATTTTACTTGCTGTTGTGCAATTATCTCATTGGGTGGAGCCCTCCTTCAATCACGGAGTATAGTATATGGAGGGTGTCAGGATCACTGCTGTCAGAAGTCGAGTTTATTCCAGAAAATGTGGCAGTTACTTTCTGCACTGTTGTTGCAACCACCACCATCAGATCATTTGTGATCTGATGGCTGGGAAGCACTCTGCCGTGATTTCAGGTGGGAGGTCTCTGTTTTTTTTGTTTTTTTTTTGCCTTTCTCCTGTTTTCTCACCCCAGAAAATCGTAATGAACCTGTCAGCCCGCTGCCACTCAGTGTCACACTGGATCGGCCACACTCCTATCCGACTGCTAATGGGACCACACCCCAGTTTATTTTTCTGCACAACATAGTGTTTTCCGTTTTTTTTTTCCTTTTTCTTTTTCTTTTTCTTTTTTTTGGAGGTCCATTTCCTTTCTCTCTTGCCAGTGCAGTCCGCCTGGGCAACCAAGCTGACCCCAGCGGCGTGCATGCGTTTGACAGGCATGTGATTGGGAGGGAATACTCTTTTGAGGGGTAAGCCAATAGTGGGAGCCACCCCTCAAAAGAGTATTCCCTCCCAATCACAGGCCTGTCAACGCATGCACGCCCCCAAAATTGGTCCCCCGGGACCCCCCCCCCCAAAAAAAAGAAAAAGGAATTAAAGAAAAAGAGGGGAACGAAAGGGAAAAAAAAAAAAAAAAAAGCTGACCTGAGTACAAAGGTTTTTGGGGAAATGTCTCCTTGAGGGGCTGGGGCAATCAATCACTCACAGGGAAAAAAAAAAAAAAAAGGCTGATGCGTACAGACATGGGGGCGGGGCAATCCTCTCTCATGCGCAAGTTGATGCGTACAGACATGGGGGCGGCGAGGGGGGGGGTCGGGGCGGGGGTTGAAACCTACTACTCTTCACACTCCTCCTTCCTAATTGTGGCGGATGAGAGGTCCAATTCTCTGTCTAACCTGCTAGGTTCATTGTACTTTTCATTATTTTGAACTCCCTTGTTCTATTTCTTGGCAGCTAGAGAGGGGGGAGGGGAGGAGCGCGGGGTGTGTGGGCACATCTAGATGTGTATAAGAGACAGGGATATGCCTTTCTATCAAATACGGTTCATTTTTGTTCATGTAATTATGTGTGGATGTTTTAACTTTTTTTTGAATGTGCATTGTTTGTTCACAAAATTTCCAACGACGTTGCTCGTGGTCATGCGGCGAAAACCCCCAAATTTTGGGCCTTCCATTAACCATCTCTCTCTCTCTCTCTCGCTCCCTCTCTCTCTCTCTCTCTCTCTCTCTCTCTCTCTCTCTCTCTCTCTCCATACAAGGAAACACCGCTTCTCCGAAGGATAAAGTGGAAGAAGGTGTCAGGATAGGGAACGGCAGCTTGAGGAAGAGAGGAAGGGAAAGGGGGAGGATGAGTGAGGCGGATGAAGATGGTCCCAGTGGCGGCAGCCGGTGGACATCCTTCTCTCTCTCTCTCTCTCTCTCTCTCTCTCTCTCTCTCTCTCTCTCTCTCTCTCTCTCTCTCTCTCTGTGTATGGGAATAGTCACTGTGAATTTGTGCGAAGAAGGGGAGTAGTAGTATATATCACCTTGATCGGTACTGAGCTGATGGGACATGGGTTCAGGTACTGATGGAATCTGATGAATACCAAAGAACAAAAATCACTGGGGGGCTGAGGAGTAAATATCACCTTGAAGGGGTGCCACTGTGCCAGCCTATACGGTGGAATGTTACACAGTACTACAGAAATCTAACTACGGTCTTCCGCGGAACACAGCGCATCCTGATTATGCCTGTATCTGGCCGGAAACATGGCTTGTATGCATGCATCATCAGGGTGTGTTATGTTCGGGGGAAGACGGTAGTAGTATGCAGATCATCAGGTGGAATCCTGATGGAATGAAATGAATGCAGGAAAAAAGAAAAGAAAAAAAAAAACATTATCACACCTTAAGCGCAGGAGAAGGGGGGAAGGAGGGAGAAGAGGAGGGTGGGGAAGAAGCAGGAGGAGGAGGAGAAGGAGGAGGAGGAGGAGGATGATGATGATGATGAGGAGGAGGGAGTATCTGTGAGGACTAAAGAAGATCGGAGGAGCTAAGGAACAGAAGGTTGAAGGAGGTGGAGGTAGAGGAGTAAATATCACCAGATAATATGAACTTGTATCCTTTCCTCCGTGTCTTCCTCCTCCTCCTCCTCCTCCTCCTCTACTGGTCCTTTTTTATCTTCTCTTTCTTGTTGTGCTGGTTCTGTCTTCCTTGTCTGTTTCTTCTCCTCTCCTTCCTCCTCCTCCATCCTCGTCTCGATGCTCCCCTTTTCCCACCCCACCCCCAAATCTGTTTGTTATCTGTCGCTGATTCTGAGCCCATTGCAGCACAGACCCACCTTTCCCTTTCGCACAATCGCATTGGGCATCTATCGCTGCTGATTATGCGGGAAATTGCAGCAGCGGTCTTTGCCAGTTTATTACTACGGTTTTCAACTCTTAAACTCAAAAGGGAGAAGAGGAGGATGTGCATCACGTTGTCTTATCTGTCCCCTCCTTAATCCCTCACTAATACTTTCTGTCTGACTGACTTTCACTTTTCGCTTTTCGCTTTTCGTTTTTCGTTTTTCGTTTTTCGCTTTTCGCTTTTCGCTTTTCGCTTTTCGTTTTTCGTTTTTCGCTTTCCGCTTTGTTTTTTGCTTTCGCATTTTGCTTTCCGCTTTTCGTTTTTCGTTTTTCGCATGGCGTAATTGAGCAGGAATATCCTCACTGGAGTGTTGTTCGACCTCTTAACCGATGGCCAGGAGCGTCCGTGGCAAATAACGGTAAGCGGTTTTTTTTTTTTTTTTTTTGTTCTTAATAACGGTAAGCGGGGGGTGGGGTCTTAACTGCAGGGCGTGCGTTTTGTTTGTTCGTTTCTTTCCCTTGAGATATCATCCTCGAAATCACTGGCCCCAGTAAGGGAGGCTTGCGGCTACGGACAGACGGACACACAGGCAGACTGATTGCCACACAAACAGAGATGGCTGCAGGCAGACAGACAGGCAGGAAGACTGAAAGATAGCTGCAGAAAGACTGAGAGACGTCCACAGGCAGGCAAACAGACAGGCTTTGATGTACGATAGGAAATCGGAGCTGAAGATAGGAAATGACAGCTACAGACAGATAAACAGAGAGCTGTATACGTGCTACTATACGGGCACACAGACGTAAGTAAGCAGGAAGACAGACGGCAGCTACAGAGTTACAGGCAAACAGCGCTAGACAGGCAGACAGAGAGACACACAAACAGCTACAGGTGACAGTCAAGTAGACAGAGAAACAAACATACAAATGTCTACAGCCAGAGAGAGGCAAACAGGTACACAGAGAGATAGGTAGATATATATCGTCACAAACAGAACTGCCCGGTAAACCGTAGGCAGAGAGAGAGAAGAGGACAACAAACGAGGGGCTGTGACAAACTATATATATATCGTCATATAGATAGATAGATAGATAGATAGATAGATAGATAGATAGAGAGAGAGAGAGAGAGAGAGAGAGAGAGAGAGAGAGAGAGAGAGAGAGAGAGAGAGAGAGGTCTAATAGAGGCAGGCAGATAGACAGGGCAGGCAAGAACAGAGAGAGAAACAAGCTCACCTTTTGCGGTGTTGTTCTATTGGCGTGGTGTTTGCGTTTGTGCCCAGGTGCATTTTCGCAATTTCCCGTCAGATTTGCTCATTCCTTGGGACGGTGAAGAGACAATCAAGTGGAGTTTCATGAACGCATTGAAAGAGGTAACACGGCAATTCTTTTTTTTTTTTTTTCTTTTGGATGATTTCTCGATTTATGTGCGCCATCCTTGCGCAGGGGCCATGCTAATCTTCAGTCTCTGTAATAGTCTGTATCGTTCGAATTTTAACGGATGTCGCACAGGACACAGCAGTTCTATTTTTTTTTTTGTTTCCAATTTTATAATATTTATATCATGTATGTGCTATGCAGCCCCTATTTTCGTCTTGCCTACTCACCGGCCCATCCTTTACTGCTGGGTAGCATGCCGTATGCGTACGCCCATTCTTCTGGCATGCGCGTATGCATCATACTTGCAAGCGGACGTGGTCCGGGCGGTTCCGCACGTGCGGCAGACCGCCGGACCGGACCCGCGCGGTGCACGAATGTGCGCCCGACGACCAGTTACGCCCCACCCCAAAAAAAAAATAAAAAAAATGGCCCCGTCCGGTCGGGTCCGGGCCCGTCTGGTCCAGGGGGAGGGTGCTGCACGCGGCAAAGCGGACCGGACCGGACGCTCGTCCGGTCCGTCTGCTTGCAAGTAGGGTACGCATACGTAATTAAAAAAAAAAAAAAAAAAAAAAAAAACACCAAAAAATCTGAAAAAAATTACGTTGTGCAGAATAAGAATACAAACAGCTTTTGTTTGGGAGCCGTACCCGAATTCCCAAGCAAGCTTGATTTAAAAAGAAAAAAGCTTAAAGAAAAATTTTAAAGAATAAAAATTAAAAAAAAAATCCTTTAAAATAATAAATCCTTTATTGTGATACATCGATAATATTACCTTTTTTTTTAGTTTTTGATTTTTTACTCCTGTTTGGTTGGGAATTCGGGGATGACTCCCAGGCAAAAGTTTTTTCTATCATGATTCTGCATAACATACAGAATTTTGTTTTCGTTTTTCCTGTAGAAGAGAAGAGAAGAGGGAAGAGAAGAGAAGAGAAGAGGAGAGGAGAGGAGAGGAGAGGAGAGGAGAGAAGAGGAGAGGAGAGGCGAGGCGAGGCGAGGCGAGGCGAGGCTAGGAGAGGCGAGGCTAGGAGAGGCGAGGCTAGGAGAGGCGAGGTGAGGCGAGGCGAAAGAGGCGAGGCGAAAGAGGCGAAAGAGGCGAGGCGAGGCGAAAGAGGTGAGGCGAGGCGAGGCGAGGAGAGGAGAGGAGAGGAGAGGAGAGGAGAGG